TGTGATGGCCTGAATCAGGTTCACTTTAGTCTCTAGATTGACATCTTTGGACTTCAGCACTCTGGAGAGGTCCCTGATGGGAGAATTTCCTAATCCAATTCGTCTTTTGATTTCCTGGCTGCTGGTTCTAAGAGTATTGACTGTGGACCAAAGCAAGATGTAATTGTTAACAATCTCAATCTCATCTCTATCTATCATGGTGCTTCCAAAGGGGCCAGTGGTGAGAATCTTTGTCTTCTTGATGTTGAGCTTCAATCCATATTGAAGACTGTAGTCCTTGACTTTCTGCAGCAAAGTCTTCAAGTCCTCTTCAGTTTCAGCAAGAAAGTTGTGCTATTTGCATGATATAAGTAATTGATGAGTCTTCCTTCAATTCTGATGCCACACTTCTCCTCATAGAGCCCAGCCTCCCGGATGATCTTTTCCACATACAGGTTAAAGAGGTATGGAGACAGGAGGCATCCCTGATGCACTCCCTTCCTGATTTTGACCATGGAGTGTTTCCTTGCTGTCCTCCCCATTCTCCCTTTCCTTCTTTGTCACTCTCTCCCCCCTAGCCTGTCCCCTATTCTCTTCACTTACCATGTCCATCACATAGTCACATAGCTTTTCCTTAGTACCTTGTCTTCCTTCCTGGGGAATCCATCATCACCAGAGAGACCAGGAAGGACTATGCTTTATGGTGGTGGTAAAGGTATAAATTACTACTTTTATACTAGTCATATTATGTATAATTCAGGTACCAAAAGAAAAGTAAATCCATTGCATCAGGTCAAATTCAACTTAAGGTGACTCTAAGACAGAAAGGTCAAAAAAGGCATGCAGTTCGAATCCACCAGCTGCTCTGTGGGAGAAAGATGGGCAATCTCCAATGTGAGTTACTGCCCCTAGAAACTCACTGGAGGGTCAGCTGTGAGTTGATTCTGACTTGATGGCACATAGCAATAACTCAACAGCCAGTTCTTTGAAAAATTTACCATCTCGAAAACCGAGAGGGACACTCTGCATCTGAACTGACTCCAGCACCGAAAACAGCAGGTCAAAAAGAGCAGCAGATGCCCAGAGATAACGCTCTGACAGGAGAAAGGGGTGAGACAGAAGAATTCACGGAAATAAAAATTACAGAGATGAAGTGATAAAAGTGTGGTTGCACTGTGGATGCTGTAATTAATGTTTTAAAACACAAGGTGTATGCACGGTTGAATGAAAAATCAATTTGTTTTGTAAGCTTTCATGCAAATCATAATTAAAAAATTTATAAAGTTAAGAAAAATAAAAGTAGACCTCTCACAGGGTGTCCAATGCTGTGAATCTTTACAGAAGCAGACTATAAAATCTCTCCTGCAGAACAGCTGCTGGGTTTTAACTACTGACCTTGCACTCAGCAGCGAACTGCTTTTAACCACTGAGCCACCAGGGCTGCTATCAGACACCAAACTCAACCCAAATCCACTGCAGTGGGGTAGATTTTGACTCATGGTGTCCCTCTATTGATGGGAAGAGATGGTCTCATCATTTCCCCCAGAAACAGCTGGCCAGTTTGAACGGCTATCTTTTTGCACATAGCCCAACACATAATCTACCAGACCACCAAATCAAATCAAAACAAAACAGGAAACCCACTCCCATCAAGTCGATTCTGACTTATGGATCTTCTAATGGTCTACCTTTCTCCCATGGAGAAGCTAGAAGATTTGAACTATAGACCTTTCCATTAATAGCCTAATATGTAACTCACCATACCACTAGGGCTCCATCATGTGATAGGTGGAGAAAAGACTGAAACTGTCAACCATTTCATCTTACTTGGGTCCACAGTCAACACCCTCGGTGCCAGCAGTCAGGAGAAGAGGAGATGTATTGCATTGGGAAAGTCTGCAGTCACTCAGATACAGTAGGGGGTTTCATAAGGTGTCAGAAGCATTGTCTTGAATTTCAAAGATTTTCAAAGTCACCTGCCTAGGCTTAAATTCTGGCTCCACAACATAATGACTATGTGACCTTGGGTAAGTCACCTAATCTGTGCTTCAGTTTCCTCCTTTGGGGACCTGGAGGTGATAATTAAATCTACCTCACAGGGCTGTGATGAGGATTAAGAAGCTAATTTACAGATAGCACTGTAAGACAGCTTAGCACACAATTAAATGCTCAATTCATGTGGAGTATTGCATTTAGTTTGAGGGCAATGTCTATAAAACTTCCCCAAAGTATAGAGATACAAAGCCAGGGGCCACAAGACAAAAGGTAATTAGATGTTTCCAGGCTCATCTCCTTGTCACATACATTATGCTCCATTCACAGGGAATGAACTGCAATTCCTTCATTTGTCCAAGCACCTCCTGTTGACAGGTGCCATGGAGTCAGCCTCTGCCTCTGAAATCCAGTATCCTGCCAGGATCAGATGTGTCTCAGAGCAGTGTGATACATAGGGTTTTCACTGGCTAATGTCCATAAAGTAGATCAATAGGCTTTCCTTCCCAGTCTATTTTTGTCTGGAAGCTCCATGGGAATGTGTTCAGAATCATAGCAACACAAAAGATCTACTGGCAAGGCTGGAGGTTGAACATGAGCTGGTGGATTCGAACCAGCAGAGAGAGGTGCTGCCTTTGGGTTAGCAGTACCACTCCCTATAGACTGTGCCATCTCTGGACCTACATGCCTGTGCTTTTTTAAACCAACAAGTAGATAAGAGTTGGAAGTCAGTGGTTAAAGAGTCCTCTGCTACAAATCCACTTTGCAAGGGCAAACAAAAAGGCATGTCTGTCCCTAAATGAAAGGGAGTTGGATGTAGGGGCTTTTTTCATGACTTAGTATGAGAAGAGGCAGATTATTCACTAGGTTAGGCAAGCATGGGTGTTTACATGTGCTTATTTTCTAACCTGTCTTACTTATTTACACATCTTTGATGTGAAAACCATGTGGAGCTGTTCACTACAAATTAGCAAGTACGCACAAGAAAATCTGTATTTCCTTTGCTTCCTGGGTACTCTGTCCATGTCATGGTTTGTAATTTGAAAAGAGGCAGTGGGAAAATGCTTACTGAACTTATTGTACTCCAGAAATTTTATTTTATATGATCTGGGAAAGGAAACAGAAAAAGTCAGGTAGGCAGCCAGTTGCCCTTGAGTCCATGTTGGCTCATGGTGACCCAATCTGTGCTGGATTAGAGCTGTGCTTCCACCGGCTAATGATTTCTTTGGGAGTAGGTTGCCATGCATTTCTTCTGAGGTACTTCTGAGTGGACTCGAACCAAATATAGTCAAGTGCTTACTTGTTTTGACTCTCATTTATATTTAAGAAGGACCTATAATGGCTCTGAGGGAGCTGTAGTGCTGTAGTATTTATGCTGCCAATCTCTCTAGTGGTTCAAATCCACTAGTGGCTCCATGGGAGACAGATGGGCTATCTCTTCCTGCACAATTTATAGATTCCTGAAAGCTTGCTCGAAAGTCAACTATGAACTGTTCTAACTTAACAGCAAGGAGTTCAAGATTATTATGGAGTTGAGGCATTGGTTGTTCATTGGTAGAATTCTCACCTTCTAGGAGGGAGACACCAATTTGATTCTGGGCCACTGTACCTTATGCACAGTCATCAATGGAAGAGTCCATCATTGGAGAAGTCCATCAATGAGGCTTGTTTGTGGATATGGTACAGAACAGGTTTCAGCAGAGCTTCCAGGTTAAGACAGACTAGAAAGAAAGGCCTGCTCATCTACTTCAAAAATCAGTCTGTGAAATCTTGTAGTTCGTGACAGTTTTATCTAAAGCAATGATGCGGATGATAAAGGGCCAGGCAGCCCTTCCTTCCCTTGTGTCTGAGTTCCCTGTGAGTCAGGGTCAACATGACAAAAGTTGCTAACAGAATGCTTACGGTACTGCTCAGAGGACAGCAATGCACAAGCTAGCCAATGTGCCTCTATCTTGGAACATATACCAAAGGATGGGTAGACAAACAATCTCCAACACAACACAAATACTGAACACAATAATATCAAGTACTAGTAAATGCGGTGAAGAAGAAATAGTAGATAAAAGGGCAAGAATGGCTGGGGTGAGGATGGCAGTTGGCAAGTTACATCAGTCAGGAAAGTTATGAAAGGGTTCAGTGAGTACCAGATGAGGACAAATGGTAAGGGAAGCTCAGAGAAAATCTGGGGGGAGTGGTCTTCCAAGCTGAAGAAACACGAAGTGTAAAGTCCCTGAGATTGGGAATAAGCTTTAGGACAGAAAGGTCTGTGTGGCTACAAGAGTGAAAGAGGAACAAAGTGCAGAAAGAATGAAGGTGGCGAACAAGGCCAGAGGTAGGTCATGTTTTGTCCTGGAGCTCATTCCAGCTGCAACAGAAGGCCAGGGAGGAATTCCACCAGAGGAACAGTTCAGATCATTCCTGCTACTGTGTGTGGGATGGGCTGAAGAAGGAACAGGGAGACCAGGCAGAAGGCTGTGGCACTGCCAGGTGCTGTGGAATGATGTGTGTCCATCCCCCAATAAGTATTGGAATCCTGATCCCTAGATCTGAGGATTTCAACGAATGTAAAAGAATCCCCTTCCAGAATGTAATCGAGCAAAATATAGTCAGTTGAGGTTTAACCTGTGATGGGCTTTATCCAAACAGACCTCTTGCCTTATACAGGAGCTAACTGGACAGAGACATGCACATATATATCAGGAGCCAACTGAGGATCTCTGAGAACCCAGAAAAAGGTCAAAGCTGCCAACAAGGGAGGAACAAGCATGGCTGAGTCCTATATTTCAATATTAAGCCTCTACAACTCTGAGAAAATAAAGTTCTGTTCTGTAAAGCCATCCACTTTTGATATTTCTGTTGCAGTAGCATTAGGTAACTAAGACACAAAGTAAGGATGGTAGTGGCTTGCATGAAGACCTCACTGGTAGAGTACATTTCAGTGATAGAGAGGACAGGGTCTCACAGATGAACAGAATGCGTAGGGTAAGCAAAATGCACTAGAACAGTGACCTTGACCCCTTGTGCCTTACCAAAGACCTTGAGGTGGATGGATGCATCCTGCTCGCCAGCCTTGTTCTCAGCAATGCAGACATACTCGGCCTCATCGTTCTTATCCACTTTCCTGATGGTCAGTTCAGAACTGTCATCGCTGAAGACGTACTTCTCATCTTCCTCATCCTCTATCTGTTCCCCATCCCTGCGGGGTGCAGAAACAAGTGCCATGATTTTGACCAGAGAAGACAGATATTTGTTTTTAACTAGCTTCCATAAAATGCAAACTCAGGCAGTGGAAAAGACTTGGTCTTCACAAAAGGCTAAGATGCCAAATTGTCCTTCTATGCATTCTCTTTATTTTCAACCCAGTACTCTGACACTGCCAAAAAGCTGTCAGTGGTTTAAGATAGAGAGCCCCTCTAGGATCATATTCTTTAGTTTTGTCCCCACAAGCCTGAAAAGGATGGCATTTACAGCACGAGAGAAGAAAGAGAACCTTACAGAGAAGAATCCATTCTTCACCTGGAGCTTATACTCCCAAGGAGCCTACCCACTGCACTGAAATGCCAACACAAGGCCAAGCATTGGGTCATGATGTTCTCATCTCCTTCAGCCCATGGTAAAGGCTTAGGCCCTTGTCTTACTTTGTCCAGCTCATGGTGGGCTCTGGGAAGCCGTCTGCGTCACACACCAAGGTAACAGACTGGCCAAGGTTGGCTGTGGCATTCACTACACTCTGCCTGGCCTGGACGGTGGGTGGCACTGGAAAGAAAGAAGATATTGTCAGATTTTTCAGGGGCCTCAGATGGTGGATTAGGAGTTGGGAAGGGAGAAGTTTGTGGAATTAGCATTAGAGATCTAAATCCAAGTGTGTACAAATAATCACTGTAAACAAAATATATCATTTACCTCAGAATGAGAATTATTTTTTTCCAAGAGTTTAGAATCCATCACAACATATTCTGTTAATTTTTGTAGGAGCTCTGGTGATACTGTGGGTATGGAATGGCACTCTTAACCCAGAGGCAGGCAGTTCGAATCAACCAGCTACTTGGAAGGAGAAAAATGGGCAATCTCTCTCCCCCACCCTGTGCGATTTACAGTATCTGGAAAGCTTCTTGAGGGTCAGTTCTAACTGGACGGCACATGACAGTAGCAATAATTAATTTTTAAATGGCATTTGATTTACAGTAGATAGTTATCATTTTGCATTTTCTCAAGCAGTAATATCTACCATAGTTGGTAAAACTTGACATTACAATGCGACATCTCACTACTGAAACAGGTTGGAAACCACTCCTTTTGGTAATCAAATGGTTAACAGTAACTTGAAATTTCCCAGCTCACTAGAGAGTGACATTTCTCTGGGATTGTCAAAAACAACGCTGTGCACAAACTGTTTTTCACTGAAGGAATGAGAGGGGGAAGAGTTTGGCAAAAAATTATATCAATAGCCAAAACAATTCAACCATAATTTGCTTATTTTCTTAGTACTGACATTATAATTTCCTGTAAACAACTTGTAAATGTCAGCTCGATTCCACGGGTGTGTTTATTTGACACCACAAATTAAGATTAATAAATGCATGGACCATGATTCTAACTATTGTGAGGACTGAATTGATGGTAATATTTTCTTTGAACATTGAACCAGGGAGTAAACATCATAATTTCTGTACCAAGGGAAGTGAGGATACATAAGAGGGGATTAGCAAACCTGGGGAAAGTTTCTAGTGAAAGACATTCAATAACAACACTAACCTGAAAAACTCAAACTCACTTGTTAGGTCGGAGCCAACTCATAGGTGACCCTTAGTAGGTTTTCAGAGACCGTAAATGATATGGGAGGGAGTGTCCATCTTTCTGCCTCAGAGCACTCTGTGGACTCAAACTGTTCACCTTTAGATGAGGAGTGCAACTCCCTCCCTACTAGGCCTAAAAGAGTTCCCCAACTACACCAAAAGCTCTCATAATTGAGGAAAAATTGAAAACAAGTGTATTTAAATTATCAAAAAGAATCAGAGTCAGCTAAGATGCCTGAATGGAGCAGGATAGGATTTTTGTCATAGATCCAGATCCAAGTGGAAGTTAATGAGAATGAAAGGGGAACTGAGGGTCTAGGATGAGAGAGCAGGAAGAATGGATCTCCTCACCATTCACAATGACCTGGATGTCCTTGAAGTTGATCTCCCCTCGAGCCAGGATTCTGCCCTCACAGCGATAAGTGCCCTCATCCGTTTTCTTGATGCCCCGGATCTGCAGGTAGTTGTTGGTCAGGACTATGAATCGGACTAGAAGAGACAAGAGGAGGTCCATTAAAGAAAGCCCTGTCAGAAAATGCTGGGATCTTCTGGTGGGTAGCTGACTCCCTCCCACTTCCTGACTACAGTCTTATGGGGTAAAGCTTTGTGCATGGAGAAAAGTACAACAATGAATGAATGGAAATTCAAAGTCTTATAAATTTTCATTAAAATTAATAAATTAATAAAATTAATAATAAAAAATATTAAAATGTGTATCTCAATCTATAATCTAGACAAGAGCAAAGGTCTACTGGAAATTTACTGCTGTTTTGGAGGTATAATAAGCAAAATATACCAGTTACAGGCTTATCCATTCTGAAGCTGGAAATTGCACACAGTTTCTGGGATACTTGATTCAGACTTTGGACTGGAATGCCTCAAGGCTATCCAAGGTGGGGAAGGCAGGAGACGTGGTGAGCCTCGAGGAAAAGGCAGCTGCCAGGGAATCTAGGTCTTACCATCTTTTTTCAGAATGACATCTCGTCCTTTGTGCTTCCAGATGATGGTGGGGGGTAGGGAGCTGACCACATCACACACGATCACAGCATCTTCCCCTTCCCTGAACTCCTGTGGGGTCGGTGCATTCTTGAACATGAGTTTCTCTGGGAAAGCACAAGAAAAGGGTGAAGCAGCTATTTCTCTTTCAAGAGGTCACTTTCCACTAGAGACATGCTTTCTGGATTTGAGTCTTGGGCAACTCTCAGTTTGTATAAACTGTATAACACGTGGTCACACAAAGCATTTGGAAAAAGACTTACAGGTATAGAAGATGGCACAATACAAGCCAGATATTCACTGTTGGGATGTCAAACTACCTAATGAGTACAAATTTTCAGACTTTGTGCACAGGAGTATCTAGAGAGGGAAAAGGGTTGTCTTCACCAAGAATCTCTTGCCATGTTGGTATCAAAGAAAGACAATACATAGGGAGAACGAATGAACATAAAGCCTATTCTACCAAGAATAGAAGAAACAATCCTTTCTGTCTCTCACCCTACTTTTCCTATAGCAGAGAGAATTTTGAATAAGAAAACAGAAGGAGGTCAGGCTTAATGGCAATAAATCCTATGGAATCAATACTGTTCCTTTAGCTTTCACCTATCATTCCATAGGCCCATAGGACAGATACATGATAAGAAGGCAATGGGCTGCCACCTTCAGATAGAAGCAATGGGAAAGGTCTCTTCTGAGTGGTACTAGGTATTGAGACATAATCCTCACCCAATAGACTCTCTGAGCTCCACTAACAAAAGAGGAGCATGAAATAAGAAGGGAAAATCTGAACTGTACAATAGCTGATACCTGGAGAAGGGGTGCAGGAATCCATAACTGCCCTTAAAGAACTGTGTAATATGTACTTAGAAGAGTGAGGGTGGTAGGAGGTGGCGGTGACCAGTGTGAACCAAGATTGTGAGTTCTGTGTTGTCCGAGGACGGTTTAAGAACGTACTGAAAGTCTTAATTAATTTTAGCTAAGAAAAGGCTTAGGGAGTGGAAGAGGGACTTGCCAAGCCCTCAGCCTGTCCCTGCATTGCCTTCTCACATTTTTAATGGCCCATGTGTCTCCCTGGTCTAAGCCGGACACAAGGATTCTTTTATAGCAGAAATGGGTAGTCTTACGGAAGATCTTCACGTTGACTGTGGCCTCCGACTCACTGCCATCCTCGCCAGTGACCACACACTTGTAAATGCCGGCGTCGTCGATGTTGGCGTTGTAGATGGTGAGGGTGGAGGAAGAGTCATCATTCCATACCACTGAAATCCGCTGCTGGTTCGGGGTGAGCTTTTCTCCATTGGGGGAGAACCAGGAGATGTCTTTATCTTTGGCATCCCCCGCCACTGCAGAGATAGAGATTACTCTCAAAGCAGGGAAGGGGAAAGGGCAAATCCCACTCCAGAGTGACTTGGAAACTCTTCTGAGCTACGGACCCTCTAGGCTTGACCACCAGGGAGGGATGATCATTTCTGTTAAAAATTAGATGGCTCTACTCTGGCTGTAGTGTTTAATTAATATCCATTGGGGAAAGCCCAGTCTGTTCTAGTATTTCACATATTGGTCCAATCCCTGATGAGAGAAATTTGTTGGGATCCTATTGTGTACCAGCTCCTAAGCTGGGAACTGACAAGCTACACAGTTTGGGAACAAAGGGAGCTAATATATACAGAATCCAAGCTCATGGGCCTGGCTGATCTGCGCCAGCTGGTCAGCGTGTTTGTGAGGGCTTAGCTTATGGGCTCCTGAACTGAGGATGAGAAATCAGCTTATTCAAGTATGTGGGTTTCAACCACTTTGATTCTAGCATCTGCCATTTTAGCATCTCCTGCTTGAGACCGGCAAAGTAGTTGCTTTAAATGCTGCAGGCACCCAGGAGAGCCAGAGTCCTGCTACAGTGTCCCAGATCCTGAACCCAGACAGGGCACGGGGCTCCTGGCCCTGCATGCCGCTCTGTTCGTGCTGCACAACGCCTGTCCCCAGCCTCCATCACCAGGCCCTGCACAGATGCTTAGTATGGAAATGAAGCAGCCTTCCTTTCAGGGCCCATCATGTTTTCAATAAATATCGCTATTTGCAAGATGTGCTGTGGGCTCCACGGCTGCATCTCCAGATCATTTAAATTGCTGTAATGAAGGCAAAGCTGTAGAACACATCCGCCAGCCACCAGCCACCACATCCAACGCAAATCATGATCGCATTTAAAGGCCCCTCCCTGCAAAAGCTCCTCGCTAAATGTCACAGTCTACACCTAGCTCAGCTCTTTCCTGGTTCTCCCAAGCTCTTACCTCCAGCAATGCCAATTACAGAGAAGGTACAGTCTAATTAGAATGCTTTCCTCCACTGGACAGTTCCTGATCATTATCTGAGCTGTGGAAACTGGCATATTTTCTGAACAAAACACAAGGGCACCTACCTGGTCTGACAAACTCCAGTGCTCTGCTGGGGACAATGGGACAGAACATTTGTGTTCATAATTCTCCTGGAAATCCCAGGATGTGTGTCCTCACAGCTAAAGAGATATTAGTCCCTAATGCCCTTTTAGGGACCTTTTAGATTGTTGTAGAAGATATTAAGAAATAAGTCTTAGAGCAACCCACTGAAGCATTACGTCTGAGGCAGCACTGTTCTCCAGACCACCAGTAGAACTTTGGATGTACAATGAGCAAAGAGTTCTAGACTATGTTGCTTTTCCTAAGAAGTCCCTCCATTCTCCTCAATTACAAAACAAGAATCCAGATGACACTCTTCACTGTGAGATGAGGAGGAAGAGGCCCAGGGAACTTGACAAGAAAGGCTGTGCTTTTGACCCTGCAGCAGAGTAATGTCACAATCTCTGGGTGTGGCACTATCAGTCTGCCACATGCATGGCCTACTGGTGTCTGCTCTGCCTCATGAGTTTCCGAGGTAAATTTTGAGATATAGAGGGACTTGCCTTGGCATAAGAAGAATTTGGACTCTCCAACGCTGATTTCTCCTTGGCTGGGAACAATATCCACCTGCAGAGACACTGAAAAAGAGAAAGTATGACGTAAGCACACCTGAATTTTGAGAACGGATATGAGTGTTTTAATTAAAAAATTGTCCTCTTGTTTAACTTAAGAAGAAGTTTAGGGTGGTGGTGCAGGCAGGAGGAGGAAATTTGGGGTTTGAAGTCTTGTCACCACCAAAGTACCCATGGTGCCTTATGCTATAAGCACAAGTGGACACAGCCCAACACACCAAAGTTCCTTCATGATTAGCTTAGGGGCGACCTCTGCCCTCAAAGGAGTTCCTGGGTAGAAAAAAAAAATGATCAACTCCTCTGACTGATAATCAAAAGGCTCGAGGTTCAAATCCACTTGAATGAAAAATCTGGCAGTCAACTTCTGAAAAACCAGTGACTGAAAACTTGGTGGGACACGGCTCTACTCTAACACACACTGGCTCTCCACAAGATGAGATCAACTCAATGGCAACTGATTTTCTCCCCAAAAGTTTCTGACCCTTTGGGAAGGCATATCATCCTGCTCTGAAGAGAACTTCTTCAATTTACCAAAATTGCAGCCCAGCAGGTCATATCAAATGTGACCCCACTTCATAACAGAAGGCAGTATCAACTCATGGCAAACTTTTGTGTCCAATCAGGGGACTTTGAAATACCAACGGGAAGTGTTCTCATGGCAGCTGGTTAAGGCCAAGTTGAATACCAGGAAGCCTACCACTCCAGAACTCTGTGCAAAAGTCTCTTGCCCATTTTCCCCACCCTCCTGTTTAATAACGACAGAGAAAGATACTATGACTATTCAAACTGATTTGAAGCAGGGGATTGCCAGGCAAATGTTCACCTTCCCCCATGACAAACAGGACCAGCAGGCCTCCTTCTCTATCAGCAGCCAACATCAAACATCATCAACCCAATTAGTCAGGCACTTTTCTGCAATCCTGTGGGCCATGCGCTGCAGGATTTCCTCTATTCTGTAGTTACCCTCATGGAATTTTTATTTGAATATCTATATGCTCTGCCATCGCACTGTCCTGATAAAACGAAATACCCTGCACCAGATCTCACCGATTCCTGTATTTGTTCTATTCCTCGTTTATCTGCTCGGAACAGATAAGCGCACCTCATGAAAATATGGTGTTCAGGGCAGGGGGGAGAAAAACCCCTGCTTTATTCATTTGAATTCAGCAACTTCCTTCTGCCTCTCTTCCTCTTAAGAAACTCCAATCTGAAAGCTAAAGGCTGACGGCATTTGGTTTAATGTACGCAGCTTCTCAAAACCAGGAGGAAGGTGGGGCCTGAACCACGCAGGCTGGTGGGGAGATTGAGCGAGGCTTCCGGGGAAACGCCATTTTCTTCTCAGAGCCGAATGGAGGCGGCCCGTTGCCATGGTGACCGATTTGCAGGCCCAGCGGCTGCAGGTCTCCCTCAGCCTCTCGCTGAAGCGACCTCATGGGTGCTCAGGGGAATATGGGGGGCCGAAGGGCCCATTCAGGGTCTCCTCAGACAGGGAAGAGGGGCTGGCAGCTCCCCAGGTAGTGGGGACACCGCCTTCCCAGCCATTCTCCCAACAGACAACACAGCACATGGGGAAACAACAAAGGCTGCAGAGAGAAACCATGACTGAGGGCAGAGAGGCAGGGAATCTAAAAGGGAGTGACCAGGTTTAGGGCAGAGCATCAGGGCAGGGGCACCTTGCTGGGCGCTCAGTTGTGGACCTCAAAGTCCAGGCAGATAACTGCACAGTAACTAGGTGCAGCCGGCCTCTTCCTCACTCCATCTTTTACTGACTATTCATCTGCAGCTCAGCTTTGAATTCTTACCTAAGAACAATAAATGTGACTAGCTGTGATTACTTTGTCTTCTTCATGTTAGAGCTCAAAGTCCAATGAATCTCACGATTGATTTTAAAATGTGAGAGGCAGAAGGAGCTGAAATCCACTCCATGCCAAACTGGTTTTCCTGCCTTAAATAAATGTTCCTGACTCCTGGAGAATGCTTATGGTCAGGCTTTAAACAGCAGAGCTTCTGGGATTCCCAGGAATAGCAGCCAGTAGTGTCTTGTGCCTCATTTTCTGGATGAAGGAGCAGCTGTGAAGATGCTTCCCTGAGGTGGCTCCTAGTTGGGACCAAGGTGGCCCCAGAGCCAGGCCTCCTGGTTCACAGTTAAGCACTCTTTCCATGATGCAATGTGACCTCTGAGAGGAGAGGGAAAATGTTTCCATTCAGTTTCACAAACAACCTGGTATCATGAGCCACAAGCGCAGGAGAATAAGTCTGGGGCTGGAGGCCTCATAGTACTTGAAGAGCACAGGGCCTGTGGTCCTGGACAGCCTTCGAGGGCACACGACAGATCAAACAAGGGCCTTTTCCGTGCATTTTTCTGGCTCACATTTTTTGGGAAGGGAAGCCCAGAAGCTGTGCCTACACCATCCGTCATCTAAGTAATGGTTCTTCCTGGGGTTTCCTGGGGCATTCTTTAGAGAGGCATATTTCTGTCTGAAAGGCTCTCTGGCCCATATGCTGAACATTTGCAGCCAGCGTCAACATATGGATCCTGTTACTCTCAGAGCCTTCCCTGCTTGGAGAAGGGTGTTCTGACCCCAAGTGAAAAAATAGTCTTCAATTTATTCACTTACTTTCCAATAGAACTTGATTCTCGGGGGTGGGGGTGGGGGTGGTGGTACTCAGGAGAACAAGACAGGCTGGGGTCTTTCCTCAGCATCTCTATCGGGGCTCATGGAAGGGAGAAACCAGAATTTCAAAGGAATGTCGAGCTCAGCCAGATGTGGTGCACACATTCATCACCACAGACGTTTTTAAAAGAAGAGATCCATTTAGACTCCTGACCTTTTGCACTACGGAAGAGATAGAGATCCCTCCTTCGAAATTCTGGAGACAACGCTGGGCCAGAGGCACTCTGGTCTCTGAAAATCACTGCTTGGAGGGTTTCCACAGCAGTATGTCAACAATGAATGGCTGATTATTCTCCCCCAAACGGTGAACTGTGAAATATGTGGCTTAATAATGATAAGTGGAAATTCTGCACCAAACTTAAAACTCCTTCCCTCCACTTCTGAGGCTGCCCTTTTCTTTCGTACCCTCTCTGCCCTTTTATTATTGCCAATAAAAATCCCTATCTCAACCTTCACCTTTTCCCAGTTGCATATGTAAGTGAGATTTCCTACTCATGCTTCTAAAGAAAATATGAAGACAATGCTCCCAGAAAAAAAAGTATCCCATCTCCTGCACCATGAGTTAGCACTATTTTCTCAGAGTGATATGCTTTAGAAACCTAGGCATTGGGACCTGGACCTAAGGGCAGAGTTGAGAGCTGTCTCATTCAGTGTCTTTCCCATGATGTCTTCAATAACCACTCAAATGCCAAGACACCTTGTGCAACAAACACCTCATTATTCATTTGTTTCTCACAGCAGTTCTGAGAGGTACAGAGGATGATATCCTTGTCCTCTTTTGACCAAACAGGGCACTGAGGCTTAGAGAAATGAAATCACTTTTTTTCAGGTCATGTGGTTAATGAGTAGTAAAGCCAAGATTAAAAGCCATCTAATTTTAAACTAAAGGATCCCTGGTGGAAAAAGCACTACGTGCTTGGTTGTTGATTCAAAGATTGGCAGTTTGAAGCTACCAGCCACTATGGGAGTAAATTGCTCCAGTATACATTTTAGCCTAGTCAACTCTAAGAGGGAGTCATACTTTGTTCTATTAGTTGATATTGACCCAAAGACACAAAACTAGACAGGGGCTCTAAACAGTTCAATGGTAGAGTTCTTGTCTTCCATGTGGGGAGACCTGGCTTCACTCTGTATCTGATGTCCTTTGGTGCAACCACCACCTAGCTATCTGTGAAGTCCTGCATGACGTTGATGTAATTTCAGTAGAGATTCCTAGTAAGATGGGTGAGTAGGAAAGGCCTGGAAATCTATTTTCAAAAACCAGCCAATGAAGACCCTATAGGTCACACCATTTGATCTATGACAGGTCATGGGGATGGTACAGGATCATATAACATTTTATGACCCAGTGTACGGGTTCCCCATGGGGCAGGGACCTAGTAAATGCCAGTTAACAACAATCCTAAGTTCAAACTCTTTCTGTGTAAACCAGTATAAACAAATAAACAAACACCAAAAATTTGCCTTGGAGATCATGACCACAGTGCAGGCATAGGGCAAGGTTCAGATCTGTTGTCCATAGGGTCACTACGAGTCCAAGTTCACACAACACCATCTAAAAATAACAAACTACCTTTTGTTTGCCTCTGAACGTTATATTAAACCTATGCATAACAGCAGAGAGACAGAGAACTGCCTGAAGTCCAGGCTGGGTTTAGAAGAGGTCATGGCACTAGGGATTTTGTAGCTAATGTTAGATGGATCTTAGTGAAAGCAGGGAATACCAGAGGAATGTCTATCTATGTTTCATTGATTATGCAAAGGCATTTATTTGATTGCATGGATCATAACAAACTGTGGCTGACTCTGTGAAGAATGGGAATCTCAGAACACTTGACTGTGCTAATGAGAAACCTATACTTGGACAAGGAGGCAGTCATCAGAATGGAGAAAGGAAGCACTTCATGGTTCCAAACAGGGAAGGCTGTATGCCAGGGATGTGTCCTGTCTCCACACCTTTTCAATCTATATGCAGACCAGATTATCCAGAAGGCTGGGCTGTATGAGGAAGTATGGCATCAGGATTAGTGGAAGATTCATCAATAATCTGTGTTTTGCAAACGACACAACCCTGCTTGCTAAAACTGAGGAGGACCTGAAGCGCTTGCTGCAGAAGGTTAAGGGCTGCAGCCTTCAATATGGATTGAGGCTCAGTATCAAGAAGACAAAGATTCTCACCACTGGGCCAATTGGCAGCATCAGGATGGGTGGTGAAGAGATTAAGACTGTACACAGCTTTAGTTTGCTTGGCTCCTCCACAGTCAACACTCTTGGCACCAGCAGCCAGGAAATTAAAAGACGTATTTCTATGGGAAAGTCTGCTGTTAGGGA